TTCATAGCCAGCCTCAGTGAAAAAATATCTACTAAGCAGGTCAGTGAGATCCTGTCTCTACATAAAATAGGGATAGGGATGTGGCTTCAGGGGGTGAGTGCCCCCGAGTTCAATCTTCATCATCGTACCCTCCCCCCACCAAAAAAAAAAGAAGAATGTCTGGGGAGTAGGTGTCAGGCTTTGGATTTATAACAGCTTTTATGGAGCTTCTAAAGTGTAGAACTAGTATAGAGTAAGTATAATGGGCCAAGCTCTGGGTTGGATGTGCATGCATTTGAAAACAGGCTTTTATACATATTTATATAAATTATAGATTTGATGTTGATCTAATGATAAAATATTTCCTACACAAGGCATGTATTTGCTTTAGTTAAAGTAGGAAATAGTAGATATATATTTTAAATAATCTGCAGTTACACATTGAAAAATAAAATTCATTAGAAAATTATGTATATGATGCTAGATCATTTCATAACTCTTAAGAACATGTAGATTTATAAGGCAAGATAGTAAGGTAAACAATAAAACCAAAACATTCATGAACTTGGGATGCCATTTAAAAATGTTAGGTGAATGTTGGTCCACAATCTGACTTCCATAACAAGACCTCGACAGCACAAACATTAAAGATCAAGAATAAAGGGGATAGATTCAAACTAAAAAGCTGCTTCTCAGCAAAAGAAACAATAATGTGAAGAAATAACCTACAGATTTTATAAAAATAACTTCAGTCATAATGGGAATCATTAATAATACAGGCAAAACTAAATGTTAGTGAGGTTGTGGGTAAAAAGGAAAACTCACACATTGCTCATGAGATTGACTCCAAATTGGTGCAACCACCATGGAAAGCAGTATGGAGACACCTTGAAAAACCAGAATGGAAACATCATTTGACCAAGCTATTCCTCTCTTTGGACTATGCCCAAAGGACTTAAAAACAGCATACTACAGGGAAACAGCTGCACCAATGTTCATAGCAGCACAATTCACCTTAGTTAAACAATAGAACCAACCTATGTTTTCTTCAACAGATGAATCGATAAATAAAATATAATATATATATATATATATATATATATAATTTCCCCCACCAATGGAATATTACTTAGCTTTAAAGATGAATGAAACTATTCCATTTGGTGGTAAAATGATAGAATTGAAGAATATCATGCTAAGTGAAATAAGCCCCAAGCCCCCCCCCCCACACAAAAAAAACAAAGGCCAAATGTTCCCTCCAATAAGTGTATGCTAATTCACAATAGGGGTGGGGAAGAATAGTCATTTATATTAAGCAGAGAGTATTGCAGGGAGGGGAGAGAATAAGGGGATAAAAATGACAGTAGAAGGAAATAGACATTACATATAATACATAATATATATAGATGCTAAAGCACTCAACAAGGGAGGGGGATAGAAAAGAAATTCAGGGGATTAGACAAAGTTGGATTGAAGAAAAGAAAAATAGGAGTACAAATGACAGTAGAATGAATCAGATACAACTTTTCAATGTTTATATATAAATACACCACCATGTACACCTCAAGAATGAAATGCTAACTACAATGAGTTTTGCTCCATGTATAATATGTCAAAATTTGCTCTACTGTTATGTATACCTAAAAAGAGTAAGAAGTTTTAAAAATGACAAGGGAAAATTTGTATACTGAGAAAGTTTTTGAGTTAAAAACTTTTCAATGAATGGTAATGTCATTAAGGTTAAATAAAAGTATAAAAGAGTACCTTGAGCCCATACAAAACAACAATGGTAAATAGAGTTGCCCAAGTCAGTCTGCTCAACTAGCTATAACCACAACATTTTTGGTTTACAACTCTTTTCTATTTGTTTTACAAAGCAGCACAAGAACAATACTTACAAGTTCAGCAGAGAGGAAACATTACATAGCAGTGTTAAGAATACTATGAATAGTGCTGTGGGAACTCAAAGAAAGCATTCTCAATTTACTTCACCATGCAATAAAGAATCATGCAGATGAAAAATACACTACTTAGTGATTAGATAACACATACATGTGTTTGTGACATTCAGTATGTAGGCAGCTGTTCAACTTCGCAGGTCAGATCCAATAGATAAGGAAGACACTCTCTTCACACTAGACAGTGTTTCCTTGAATAATACTATGAAAGCAAGAGAGAAAGCAAAATTAACAGACACAGGCAACTGTATTGCCAGATTAGGAAAACCAAACCACTGAACCTATGTACTGGAGAGTCCCAAAGAGCTTTTCAGGGACCTGACTGAAAAGTGCTGGGCAGAGCATCCTCTCCACAGGTGAAAGTGTGAAGTTTTGTTCTAATTTGTATTGAAAGTGAGGCCTAATAATTTCAAGTTATAACAAAGAAAACTTCATTCTAACATCTTGCATGACCTGGTAATCCCCTGAAAAACACCAAGTCCTCCCAAGAACAGGTCAGATCCTAGAGGAGGGAGTGATAGCATTGAGATGACTAAATAAATTGTGATTTTAATGAGTGAGCCACCCAGCCAGATGCATTGAGAAATCAGCATTCTTTAGCTGTTTCATCAAAGATTGCAGACATCATTCAATAAAGAAAAGGGAAGATCTTTAGTATTTTCCTTAGACCTCTAGGACTAAATCGTCTCTCCTGGCATTATAAATAGTTTAAACTCTAATATGTAAAATGAAGCCAGTTTTCTGCATAAAATAATGTGGAGATAAGCATGAAACCTAGATATTTACCCTTTGGAATATAGAATGGTGTGAATATTATTCTCCTAGAACTTATTATATTTCAATATTTATTTTCCCAAATATAGTTAAATGAAATGTTGGTGGGTGGTGTTTTGTTGACCCAAAAGACTCACATATGAAGAGAATATTGTGTTTTTACTTTTTGAACAGGACTTGTAGATGAGAGTCTAGAGGTTTATTTCAATCAAAATTGTGTTTCTCTCTCTGTGGTGTAATGGGCTTTTGAAGCAATAAGATCTGATGAGGGACATGGTTAGTTTATAGTATCTTATAATTACTGGGTTGCAGAGGTTTCTGGGAGACCACAACACATGCTATCTATTGTATAATCCAATAAGTATAACAAACATTATAGTGTAAGTTATTAAGTAAAACCAAAGGGTATACAAAATCAAAATATATAATGAAATAAAAAATGTGGGGGCATAAATGCTCCTACAGTATGTCTTTTTAATTTTACAGTCATCATTTTACATGTTTCTAGTTAAATTTTCTACTGGGTATCCAAAACTAAAGAGAAGGTCCCAAATTGTGATGTTTTTTTCTACACTAGAGGTGAGTCTAGACACCTCAGTCATGAACATCATAGAATTCATAAGGAACTGCATGGTTTCTTCTTTTCAAGAGTCAGGATGGGCCTATAGACCATGTGAATTCTCCAGAAAAAATTAAGACTCTTTCCCCCTTCAGCAATCCTCCTTTATTGCCTGAATATGCACGTTGGCTCCTAGTCTTTTGGATCTTTCTCCTCTCCCTGACTGGAAGCTTGTATAACTCTCCAGAGTTGTATATCCCTGAGAGTGTACTGCTACTCTATAAGGTGAAATGTTAAACTCATAATTAAAACTAGGGATATCTGGCCATTATTTCAGTATCTCTAGGTCCTTCCTATATCTCTCTTAATTTTCCCAAAATTATAAACAAGAGAGTATATAATTTACATAAATAATATTCTCCAAATAATACTTGATTTAACATATGAAATAATTAATGGAGACGTTATAGCATTATTTACCCAATAGAATGTTTTACTATTGTATCAATCCAATAGCAAAGTGAATACGGGGAGATGTGTGACCTAATAACACCTTTAAATGCATGACAAGTTTAACATTAAGAAATTCACACTTTATTTAGCAACAAATTGCATGTGTAATAAAATATAAGTAAAAACGCTCTGTAAAACTGGCATGGTGGACCATGCTGAGACCCTAGGGATGTGAGAAGCTTTGCAAGTTTAAAGACAGGTTCCATAACTTAGTGAGGACCTATGCAACTTAGCAAACCCTATCTCTAAATAAAAAAGAAAAAAAAATTGAAGATGTGGTTTACTGATTAAGTGTCCCTAAGTTTAAGGGGCTCTGAAAATTTTAAATTTTAAATTTCATATAAATCTTAAGAGACTTCTGAAATAATCAACTCTGAGTATTATTATTTCTCCAGTTGTGAAAAATGAGTAAATGTTGATTTATACTAAAATTATATCCTTTTAGAAATGCACAATTCTATACTTGTATTTCCTTATTTCTACAATATTAGCTAAAGATGTCAAGAAAATTTTCAGCAAATGTCAAAAGCAATTACCCATTTTCAACATTTAAATGATTTTTATCCCTCCTAGGTCCCAAATACTTCAAGAAATGGGCTATAGATAAGAAACTTACTACAATCTTTATATTTGCCAAGGTATTTTTGTAAATATTTTGCTGTTATCTAAGGTACACACTTTGGAAAAATGCTACTCCACATTTGCTACAGATATGAGGTCAGAAATTTAAAAATGTCGGAAATTTGAATACAGTCTTAGACACATTCTTTGGGTTTCTATATGCTATAAATCCTCCAGAGTTTTAAAAATGTTGGATCAATGGCCAAAAGCTTTGCAAAACTTTTCCACATGTCCTTTCACTCGTATGAATAATGAGGTGGTGAGTAGGGTGTGAACAACTATTGGAGACTGTCACCTATTTTACATTTCTATAATTTTTGTGTTATTATATCTCTGGTGTGAAATAGTGTTGAACTACTGTGAAATAGGGTTGATTCATTTTTAAAGACACTGATGCAATATTTTCATTGTAAAAATTCTCCAGTATAAAATCTATAATGTTTAGTAAGATGTGATCTTCAATATTAAAAGCTTTGCTATTCTTCACATTTATAGGACTTCTCCCTAGTATGCGTTCTCTGGTATCGAGTAAGTGATGATTGTTGATTAAAATCTTTGCCACATTCTCTACATTTGTAGGGCTTCTCTCAGTGTGGATTCGCTGGTGGTGAGTAAGTGATGATTTTTGACGGAAACCTTTACCACACACTTTACGTTTGTAGGGCTTCTCTCCAATGTGGATTCTCTGGTGCTAAGTAAGTGATGATTTTGAACTGAAACTCTTGCCACACACTGTATAATTGTAACACTTCTCTCGAGTATAAATCCTGTTGTGGTAATGGAGATGTGAGTTTGTATTAAAACTATTGCCACACACTTTACATTTGTAGGGCTTCTCTCCAGTATGAATACTTTTGTGCCACTTACGCTTTAAGAAGCTATTAAAAGCTTTGCCATATTCTTCACAGCTGTAGGGCTTCTCTCCAGTGCGAATTCACTGCTGGTGAGTGAGTGATAATGTATGATTAAAACTCTTGCCACACACTTTACATTTGTAGGGCTTCTCTCCAGTATGAATTCTTTTGTGACAATTATGCTGTGAGATGCTATTAAAACTTTTGCCACACTCTTTACATTTGTAGGGCTTCTCTCCAGTGTGGATTCGCTGGTGCTGAGTAAGTGATGATTTTTCACTAAAACTCTTGCCACACACATTACATTTGTAGGGCTTCTCTCCAGTATGAATCCTGTTGTGGCAATCAAGACTTGAGTTTCTATTAAAACTCATGTCACACACTTTAAATTTGTAGGGTTTCTCTCCAGTATAAACTCTCTGGTAATTTTTAAGGCTTGGTTGTTGAATGAAACCTTTGCAAAATTGTTTACATATGTAGGGCATCACTCCAGGGTGTGTCCACTGGTGGCAAATAAGATTGGAGCTTTAATTAGAAGTTTTGTCACATTCTTTGCATTTGCATGGCATATATTCTGTATGAACACTGTGATGTTGAGTAAAGTTCTTGAGTGCATTGCATTCTTCACATTGGTAGGTCTTTTCTGAAGAATAAATTTTTTGGGTTTTGAGTTAGGGTTGAAAAAACTTTTTAAGGCTTTCCCACACTTTTTACATTTACACGACTCTTCTTCAGTATAAATCCTCTGATACTTAACAAGTTATAACTTTTCACTAAAAGTTTTTTCACATTCTTTAAATTTGTAGAATTTATCACTGTCATAGTATCTGCTGTGTTTAAAAAATATAGCAAAGCATTTGCTTGCTCAATATCTTCTATACTTATATGGCTCTCTTTCTCTAGAAATTTTCTTGTATTAAGCAAGTTCTGCACTGTGGTTAAGAGCCCTTTCACATATCTTACACTTCCAGGTTTTGTCTTGGCTATGAATATTTTAATGAATACTAGTTTTTGACCACTAAAGCAAGACTTTCCTACTTTCCTACATTTTTCATCTTGGTAAATTTCCTTTAGAAAAGGACTAGGATTTTTCTATATTCTCTATATTCATAATTTTTATCACCAATGTAAATATACTCAGGGTAGCGACATGGCTTATTGTGTTACTTCTAGCATTATCTATATAGTGCACTTTTCAGAAATCTGTATCAGAATTGTAATTGAGCAATAGTGGGTAAGTAGAAACTTTTCTACTATTCTTAATATTGTCCATTTGGGCACAAAGAGAAATTAACATTTGTTTCAGAAAAATGGACATTTTATAAAGAAACCCTCAAAAGGATCACTTTTAGAAATATCTTTTCTGTGCAAATGTTTGACTGGAATTTGAAATCAGTGCTACTTTTATAATTGGCCAATTTAAAAACATGCATGAACTAGGTTTCAAATTTTCCACATTGCCTTTCAGTTAAAAAATGGCTGTGGATTTATTCTTAAAGACATATAAAATTCCTCAAACTAATTGGAATGCATTAGATTTTTTTCAGTTATTAATTTTACCTGGTGTCTTTGACCATAAAATTTTTATCATAAATAGTGACTACTGATTGATTTTGTCTACTATAATACAATTTTTGAACTTTACTCTCACCTATATTTTCCCATTGTTTTCTTGGTTGTAAATAGTCAAAGTCACACTTTCCATATCTTCCTTCTCTCTTTTATATCCTGCTCTGGTAAAATTTCTCGAGGATGATGATAAGTCATGGCTGTAATAAATAGAAATAACAAGCATGTTTACTTACTGTACTGGGCTTAGTATATTTTGCAGACCTAAGAAATTACAGCAAAAAATAACATCAGAAGGGGAGTGGATTATTAAATCCAAGTCCATCATTACTGTAGAAATATATAAATCCAATAAAAATAAACACAGAAAATTACTTTGAAGATTTTCTTAATCATCTTTTTGTTCACAGTATCCAAGATGAGTACATTACTATGGAGAGTAATATAGTAGAGAAAAATGCATTGTGTTACACAAAGATTTTTCTCCTTCAGAATATATTTTAAAAATCTACCAACTTACCTCTGTTTCATTAAAGATAAAATTATAAAACGTGTGAATATTTGGGGACTGTTCAATAAGGGCTTCCTGCTTACCAACAGAAAAAATCATGGCTAAATCAACTGTAAGCAAAATTATGAATCACTCAAAGGGAATAGTCAAGTATCATTTAAAAGAAGATTACTGAACTAAACCAACACACAAAAAACAGAATATAAATCAGTCAAGAATTGTTAATAGTAATAAGCAGAAAATTTATCTTTAAAGACTTTCTTTAGAAAACGTCTGAAAGAGTTAGGGGTGTTTGTACATAGCAACATAGGAGGTTGAGCTAGAGCATCAAAATTTGAAGGCCAGACAAAATGAAAAATGCAAAGTGCTAAATCGCCTTTAAGTTCTCTTTCCAGTACTAATAAACACATCTCAGAAAATCGAAAGAAATCAAACATCCAAGCAGCTCAGTTTTCTCCAAGTTGTAAAGACTCAAAGTATGTTTTAATCCAAGTTTTAAAACTCAGAATACTGAGAGCATCCAATAGAAAAAGATGGGACACCTAGAAATGTGTAACTATATAATTGTGAAATCCCATCTTCACAACACAGGAAGAAATTTGAGTCTATCTATATTCAAGTGATGAAAGAATAAAATTATCAAACAAGACATTATATTCACAACTACTACCTTTCAAAAGAGAAGGAAAATGAAGACTTTAAACATATAAAAATACACACACTATTCATCAACGCTGGATGTGTTCTCCAAAAAGCACTAAAGGTAATCTTTCATAGTAAAATGTAAGTGCACAATACCATAAGTCACATAAAATTTTAAACGTTTCTTGGTAAAACCAATTCTATTTTATTGTAATGATGGGTCATAAAACATGTAATTTTGCAATACAATTTGAAAGAAAAAAAGCATAACAACAATACTGTTAATAGGCATATATACCTGTAACAATAATATAATTTTAAAAGGACACATAAATATATTCAGTTTTTTAATGAACTGAAGTCAAGTTGATACTCATACAAAGTATGAGTAGGAGATTCTTCATTTTCAGAGTTTTTTTGTTGGCAAATGCAAGATTACAAAATTCTGATCAAAACAAAACTGGAGTATCTGAATTAACTCTAAATATTGCAACTGAAGGTAGTGTACAAGATATGCTAAATCTAAGCATACACACATACTGAAAGCAAAAAAATATAATAATGACACATACAAAAGTGATCGAACAAAACCTGGGCTGTCTAAATTATAGTACAGAAAACATAATTTAAGACAGTTATAGGACATAGAAAGCATTTTAAATGAAAAAAAAACTTTGAAAAGAGGCAAAAGATTGAAAAGGACACTTTCCCTTAGCTTCTGAATTAAGAGTAAATACATTTGCTATGTACTTAATACTTCCCAAACACACAAAGAAAACACTGAGAGGGTTCAATGAAAAAAAAAAGAATCACTGTCATACTAAGAGACATAAATCCCCACTTACTGAAAAAAAATGCAGTAAAGCAAATGCTAATTGCAAAGCATAAGATTTTGAAAATATTTTGAAACTACTATAGACTTATAGAATCCCTGTTTTTAATCAAAAGTGGGATATTATGCTGGTTAGATCAATTTTATATATTAAAACAAAGGTTAAAAAATATTTAAGTGATAGTTATTTTGTAACCAACAAGGAATATACATTTGAAATCAAAAGTGGTAGGGATTTTCAAAAATCCCTAAATATGTGTCAGTTGATTGAACACACTTGGGCATGCTGTTGTTCAAAATTGAAAGATTAAAGATGTTTATACTACTTAAAGTTAACTAGAGGCTCCATGTAGTTTTCATCAACCTCCCATTGTTAAAAATATTTGTTTGCAGAGAAATCTACCCTTTAAATTGTATGACTATACCCCAAAATACAAATAAGACTATTTCCCTGCTAAAAAAATATACAAACAGTTACAGCATTCAAGTGTAAATGCAAACATGGAGTCAGGTAGAGGGAGTTCTTAGTGAGTGTGGCAATAAGCGCTCCCATTAATAGCAAATTAAAAATATTGCACACCAGTGTTGTTACATTGTTATTAAACAGAGCCATCATGGGGAATGCAAACCAAATATCCCTTGAAAAGAACGATGAGCCATATTGGAATATAGAAACTATAGAACTTTGAAGTCAAAAATTTATTCTAATTATATATTTTACAAAATGTAATTACACTAGATTAACTGAAATTTCACAGATAAAATACTGCAGAATTCTATGAATATGACATTTCTAAACTAAAAAAGAAGCTTTCTGAAAAAAAGAGAATAGTTTTGTGATGAAGAGACAGAAATGAGCCCTTGCTTCCTAGGCATTTTTTTTTTGAGATGTAAACTTTGTAGTGATATATTGCATAACAATTTGCATTACTGTTACTGAACTGTATATTTAAAATTTTGGGGACAGTAAGTTTTATTTTGTGATTTTGATTACAATGAAAATTAAAAGAAAAAGAATTGCAACATTTCTCAAAGCTACATTTAAAATAATGTAATCTTTATCCTATAAATAAGAAGAAGCTCTTCCATACACAAATGATGAGTATGCATGTAATCTCAGCTACCAGGAAGTCTGAGGCAATTGAATTGCAAATTTAAGACATCCTCAATAACTTAGCGAGTACCTCTCTCAAAATATGAGTGAAAAGGAGCTTGGGGTGTAGTTCAGCATGAGAGTATCACTGCCATCAATTCCCATTGACTTATGCATTGAAAATATCAATTTATATGTACATGGGCAGAAAGAAAAGCCAATCAAGATAAAATACAAAAGTTATGGACAAAAGAGGCTTAATATTTATACAAGCTAAAGCACATATATTATTATTGGCAATACAAACAAGAATCATACATATCTTAGTTTGTGAAGAAATTAACTGATAAAAGGAAACCCAGGATGTAACAGGGAACATATTGTACACAATTAAAAAAAGAAAAAGAAAACAAGTAAATTATAAATATCTACAGATGTATTATTTTACAAATCCCCTAACTGAAATAAAACTTACACCATCTCTCAAAACAGCACACATTGTCCAACTTGACATTCATTCCACGGCAGATAATTTCACAGAAAATCCATTACACATATCAGAAAGAACACTGATAAGGAAATTTTAATGACAAAATATACAAATAAGATTAGAGAAACTGACTTATGATAGTAATGTATTACAATGGGTGGACCTAGAGGTCTCCAGAAATGTGCAAAACTTTCCTTCAAATAATGGAAGAAAAGCTAAAGTTGTAGAGTAGTGTTAGAGAGCTTGTGAGGCCCTGGGTTCAATTCTCAGCACAATATATGGATAAATAGGAAATTAATTAACAACTAAAAATAATTTCTAAATTATGGGAGAGCTGTCAGATAATAT